TGACAGGCGTGAGCCACTCACACCGGCCCAACTTACCTGTTTTTACGTTTGCTGGCTGTGCTTTTGCTTCCGTATCTAAGAAACCGTTGCCGAATCACGAATGTCATGAAAACGTCAATGTCATGAAGCTTTCCCCCTTGACTTCTAAGACTTTTATAGACTTAGGTCTTGTGTTTCTGTCTTTAATCTATTTTGAGTTAATTTTTCTGTCTGGTGAAAGGTAAGGGACCAACATCGCTCTCGCGCACGTATCACCTTCCCAGTGCCGTGTGCTGAAGATAATCTCTGTATTTAAAGGCCAGCTGATTAGCAACCTTAATTCCGTCTGCGACCCAATTCTCCTTTGCCGTGCAGGGTAACATTGTCACAGGTTCTGGGGATTAGGATCCAGCATCTTTGGGAGGTGAGGGTGATCGGGCCCGCCGGGACTCACATGCATCTCATTCACACACTGACTCAGGAGAACACAGCTGCCCTTTGAACAAGGCTGCGAACTGTGTCTATTTATACACATTTTTTCAACCAAACACATCAAAAATACAGTATTCAGTCTGGGTATAGTGGCTTACACTTGTAATCCCAGCACTTTGGGAGGCTGAGGCAGGAGGCTGGCTTGAGGCCAGGAGTTCAAGACCAGCCTGGGTAACACTGTGAGATGCATCTCTACAAAGACTTAAAAAAAAAAAAAATTAGCCAGGCATGGAGGGTGTACACCTGAGGTCCCAGATACTTAGAAGGCTGAGGTGGGAAATGGCTTGAGTGAGGGAGGCTGAAGCTGCTGTGAGCTGTGATGGAGCCACTGCACTGCACTCTGGCCTGAGTGGCAGAGAGCCAGCCTGTCACAGAAACAACAGTCTTCAGAGAATGCAAAACCTGCACTTGCAAGGCCAGCTCTTCATAGACGTGGCTTCTGCAGGGCACCGTGGGACTTGAGTACGTGCAGATTTGGGTCCAGGAGGAAGGGAGGGACTGAAACCAATCCTCTGCACGTGCCGAGGGACGACGCTATTTCTGTGTAACAGCAGGAGGTGTGATTCACAGCAAATACTGACAAACATTAAATGGAGAGATGGCTTAGGTCGGGGAAAACGGACACCTACAAATGACAACTGGGCTGTCTCAAATGCTAATTGAAGAAGCACTATTCAAACAATAACACTAGCTAGGAAAGAAGAGAATCTTATCACACAACATAGAGTTCTCTTACTACATTGCTGTCGTGTGCATTTTCACAATCATCATCAAAAGCAGAGCTCGTCTTCCCCTGAGAGGTTAAACGAGTGAGAAGGAATAACCAGAGGGAATATGGGAGAAAACAAACAACAGAGTTCAAAACAGAGGCCTGAGGGGCCGGGCATGGTAGCTCATGCCTGTAATCCCAGCACTGTGGGAGGCTGAGGCAGTAGATCACTTGAGGCCAGGAGTTCAAGACCAGCCTGGGCAACATGGTGAAACCGTCTCTACTACAAATACAAAAATTAGCTGGGTGTGGTGGCAGGTGCCTGTAATCCTGGTTACTCGGGAGGCTGAGGCAGGAGAATTGCTTGAACCTGGAAGGCGGAGGGCACAGTGAGCCAAGACCGTGCCACTGCACTCCAGCTTGAGACAAGAGAGTGAGATTCTGTCTCAAAAACACAAACATAGGACTGAGATGAGGAGAGAATCCTAATGTTTCAGGCAAAATAAGTCAACATTATTACAATGCATTGTTACGTTAAGATGTATTCAGTGTGCTCCATCAGACTGTGAAGGTGTATCCTGGCAATCTATCTCAAGTTCAAGAAGGTGGTGGCTCTAGTAGGCATCTGACTAGAGGGAGGGGTTAATTTTTTTATCCTCACCTTCAGATGAAGAAATCGGAGCTGAAGGTCAGCCAGGCAGGGGTCAAAAACCGTGCCCAGTCCATGCAGGCCCTGGCGTGGAGGACATGACAGGGAGAGCTTTGAGAGGAGGCTCCTGGTCAGTCCCAAGCTGGGTTCTCGGATCTCCTTGTTCTCCTTTCAGAACTTCCTCTTCTCCTTGGTTAGAATTAAACACAGCGGTGGAGGCCGGGCGCAGTGGCTCACGCCTGTAATCCCAGCACTGTGGGAGGCGGAGGTGGGCAGACCACCTGACGTCAGGAGTTCGAGACCAGCCTGGCCAACATGGTGAAACCCGTCTCTACTAAAAATACAAAACTTAGCCAGGCATGGTGGTGTGTGCCTGTAGTCCCAGCTACGCGGAGGTGGAGGCAGAACTGCTTGAACCTGGGAGGTGGAGGTTGCAGTGAGGAAGCTGCGCCACAGTACTCCAGCCTGGGCGACAGCGAGACTGTCTCAAAAAAAAGATAAACTGGTGAGAAAAATGAAACACAGTGGTGGCATCACTGATTTCCTGTGTCAGCTTCTGTTGAGAGCAAATCCTGACGTGTGTGAGAAATCACATTGTTTACTGAGTGCCAGTGAGAACACCCAGTCAACCCCGCAAAGCAGAAAACTGCTGAAGGGATTATAAGAGCAGTCACCAATGTGAATGTCTCACACCAGATGAATCAGTTCTTCGAACACAGGATATGTGACCCTTTCCTTTGTTCTCTCTGAAGAGCGCTTTCTAGATTGTCTTTAACCTATCCTAAACATACAACAGGTGCCTGGTCAGTTCACCTTTAACCAGTGAAAGAACACAGAGCATCGGCTTGTAAACCTGTCATTGGAAGGTAGCTGGAAATGCTGAGACCCCGGTGCTCCGCTCTGAACCCCCTTCTGCTTTCTATCTCTATGCCTGTTTAATTCCTTCAGCGCTGCCTGTGTTGGGGTCTCCACGGCTGAGCTGGCCTTGGCAAGCTTTCCCAGGGCTAAGCCATGTCTCTCATTCAACACTTCCCCTCCAGGCCCAGCACGCAGCACATGCACAGTTAAGACCATGCCAGCCCCTCTCAACATCTTGGGTTGAAGAGGCATTAGAGGGCAGCTCTTCCAGGAGCGAAGTGAGCACTCTCCATTCTGTGCCCACATCTGAGTGTCCGAAGTGGCCAGCAGTGGCTCTTGGAGGTACCTGTGTGCCAATGGCTCCCATGTGACAAAACTACTTCCCACGTCTGGGCATCAGGAGAGAAAAGCACGTCCACCTCCTGCACTCCCTCCTCCAGGGGGCTGAGACCAAGCTGCTGCCTGGCAAGCCAGCTCCTAGGCTGTTCCTCAGGCCAGAGGGGATCTGGGGAGTAAATCCAACTTTGAGACGGAAGGTACAGTAAGCTGACATTAAAACAACCCCATCTAGGACAGGCACAGCGACTCATGCCTGTAATCCCAGCACTTTGGGGGGCTGAGGCGGGTGAATCATTTGAGGTCAGAAGTTCTAGACCAGCTTGGGCAACATGGCGAAACCCCAACCCTACTAAAAATACAAAAAGTAGCCAGGTGTGGTAGCAGGCGCCTGTCGTCCCAGCTACTCGGGAGGCTGAGGTGCGAGGATCTGCATGAGCTGACATCACACCACTGCACTTCGGCATCGGTGACAGAGCAAGATCCTGTCTCAAAAAACAAAACAAACGCATCTTAAACCAAAGTGGCTACGATTCAGGCGGGTGGCTACAGGTGCACGGGCCGCCAGGCTCAGCCACCAACAGAACAAAAACACAGACCCACTCAAGATGGGTCCCTCCTGGTGAGTCCCTGCCACGCTCACCTGAAGGTGGCACAGGCAGAGCCAGACTGAGCAGAGGGTGGGCTAGTGGGGGTCCTTTCTGCATGACCCCCTCCCTCCGTCACACCGTCCTCCAGCCCCCTGACTCTGTCGCCCACCATCCTGGGCCTTTCCCCTGGTTCAAAGCCTCCTTTCTTCAGGACCTAGCTCTCTGCAGGCAGCTGTGATCTCACCTGGCAGACAGGCAGATCCCATGTGGGACAGGCCTCACTGTGAGGGCTCCAACCCTGTGATGCAGGACCCGCGGCAGCACAGTCGTGGGAGGAGGGTGGGGTGCTCCTGTGAGCAGAACTGGCACAGGCGCTGTCTACTAAACCAGAGGCAGATGTGGGGATGGCCCAAGGGAGGAGGCAGTGCCCCAGGGGTCCATCACCACCCAGGCTGGAAGAGGTTAGCAGTCACATCACACAGCCTGAAAGCTCCCTGGGAGAGTGCCTGATGGGCAGGTGTGAGCTGGAGCCCAGCTCCCCAGCTCCCCAGCACCCCAGCTCCCCATCTCCCGCTGCTCCCCAGCTCCCCAGCTCCTGCTGTTCCTCAGCTCCCCAGCTCCCGCTGCTCCCCAGCACCCCAGCTCCTGCTGTTCCCCAGCTCCCCAGCACCCACTGTTCCCCAACTCCCGCTGCTCCCCAGCTCCCCAGCACCCCAGTTCCCCAGCTCCCGCTGCTCCCCTCAGACTGTAACTTCCAGGCCTCTGAGCTAAATGAGACTGGGAGCAAACTGCCCCTCATGATTTGAGAACTTAATTCAGAAATAACTTTTGTTTTGTTTGAGATGGAGTCTCGCTCTACTGCCAGACTGGAGTGCAGCGGTGCGATCTTGGCTCACCGCAACCTCTGCCTCCCAGGTTGAAGCGATTCTCCTGTCTCAGCCTCCTCAGTGGCTGGGATTACAGGCACGCGCCACCACACCCGACTAATTTTTGTAATTTTAGTAGAGACGGGGTTTCATCATGTTGGCCAGGATGGTCTTGATCTCCTGACCTCGTGATCCACCTGCCCTGGCCTCCCTAAGTGCTGGGATTACAGGTGTGAGCCACTGCGCCCAGCCCAGAAGTGCTTTTTAAGCACGGAATGTTTTATTTTGCTTGCCTGGAACCTTTGTGCAAAAAACTGGATGATCTGTGAGAGCAAATACATTTCACTTCAGAAGCGGCACCTTTTAAGGAACGCGGAAAGGAAAGGTGCAGTGGGGTCTAAAGCAGAACAGAATGTGCGACGCACAGGACAGCAGGAGGGCCTCCGCCAGCCTAGGTCCGGGACGCGGGGCGCAAGGTGCAGCTTCCACTGCAGAATGGCGTGAACGCAGACCAAGGCAAGTGGATCAAAAAAGTTTATTCTGAATCCTTTAATTAAAAAAAATCATACCTATGAGGTGTGCTACAGGAGTTCGGATACACAAGTTGCAAGTAAAACCCGACCTAACTGCTCATCCCGGCAAAGCAAGGATGATGGGAAATGCACGTCAGGAGCAAAACCACGCGCTCCACGAGCGCTCTGCGACCCAAGTCGCGAGACAGGGCCACTGGAAAGGCGCACTGCCCACCTGACGGCACGACAGGGCTGGTCCAGCCTCCCGGCAACTCGGGAAGGAGGCGAGTGCCCACAACTGCCCGGACAGCAGTGTCCCGGAGCTGGGGCCTCGGGAGGAACACTAACGTATCTGCACTTCACACTGTCTAACCTTCAGGGGATAAAACGCTCCCGTAATTGAACAGGATATTTTGGCAAAAATACTCCACCCCCATTGATGGGAGGAGGGCTCCCGGCAGTTCACAGCAGAGCAGGTACCGCCTTTCCTCCCAGGGCAGAGAGGCTGTGCTGCGACATGGCACACGCACCGCCCCAGGCTGCCTGGTGGCCCAGAGACCATCGGGGTGACGGTCAAGCACCAGCCTGTACGAAAAGCCAGGGCAGACACAGACCTCAAGTGCACCGTGAGTCCCGATCCAGAGACAAGCGGGACAGGGAGGATTTCCAGGACTCAGTGACGCTGCGTGGCGTGGGCAGGAGGTGCTCCCAGCAGCCCTCCTGGTGACCTGGGCATCAGGGGATGGGTCTCTGCTAGCAGTCACCTGATCCTGCAGGCTGTCACAGTTATGACACAGACAGGATTTCCCATCTAGCGTGGCAGCTCCTGTGCTCTGGGTGACTTAGTTCTGTGCTAACTTCCATCAGACCCGCCCCTCTCCTCTCAAACACCGAGACTCTAGAGCAGCCACCTTGTCTGGGACAGTGGTTCCCACCCACCGCAGGGCCAACCTGAGGTCTCGTGCTTGTCCCGGGAGGTCCTGACCGCACTTCACGGGCATGAGGGTGACATGCACTCGAGAGAACGCGAGCTCCCTGACACTGCCACGTGTGACGGTCAATTTGGCCAAAAAAAAGGAAAAAATTGATGCATAAAACCAATGACCAAAGTCCTCCTGAAGAACGTGATTATAATATATTAGCAAATTCTGTGGCATAAACATTTTCAAAAGCATCAGCAAAAGTATTAAATATAAAAGCAATGTGTGTATTCCCCTCCCCACCTTCCAGGAAAAAAAAAGAACAACAACAAAAAAAAAAAACAAAAAAAGAAAAAACCCAAAACCTAAGAACCAACGAAGGCCTGATCTGTAGTGTGAGGACCTGGGGCGCAGCTTCGCGGGGTGGGGCCGGCCCTACTGCCGCAGCTCCACGTAGTTGGCCGGGAAGAGCCCGTACCGGCCCTTGCACACCCCACGCCACCAGCCATCGTCAATCATCTCGATGTTGGTGATGATGTCGTCGGGGTCAAACGAGATCTCATCATCGCCCGCTGCAGAGAAGAACATAGAAAGATGCTCAGTGCACACGCTTCCTGCCCATCGGAAAAAAGGGCGCGACCCAGAGTGAGCTCCCAGGCAGCCTGCTCAGAGGAGATGCCGGCACCGCGGAGGCTCCTACTGCCTCTCCTGGGCCGCCATGAGCCGAGAGACTGCAGAGACACACAGAGCCCTTCACACAGAATGCCAACCCACCCAGACCCCTTCTGCAGGAGCAGGTTCCCATCACATCAGTCCACCCCCGCCCGCCCTCCCGTCTCTTCTCTCCCTGGCAGACACGTCCATGGAGGGGGCAGGGAGAAGGGCTGTCCACGATCACGGGGGTCTGAAGGGATGGATGGGGACACCTGGAGAGAAGCCCAAGATGGGAAGGGAGGGTGAGAGCCAGGTGATGAGAATCCACACACAGGTGCCGAGACGCCAGACACACTGAAGTGTGCACGCGACCGCACGTGTGCAGAAGGGACTGAAGGCGGATGGCCAGTGCTCACTGGTGGTAGGAGCTCATGGCAGAAGGCCAGCTTTCGTGCTGACAGAAAGAAATGGGAAGCGCTTGGAGGCAGCGCCCGGGGTTCTGGGGAATCCCACACCACTCGTAAGATGCTTGTCATCTGCAGAGGGGTGGTAGTGACTTTGTGGACAGAGGGACAGGTGGATGCCATGCCTAGCAGACAGCTCCACCGAGTGGTCTCCACGACCTCACCGCCACCAGAGCATGGCTCAGCCTGGCCCTGAGGAAACACATGGCGGGTGGATGAGGCCAGCGCAGAACTGAGGCTGCCCTTAAACCTCCAGGGCGGCAAAGGGAACTCAGGAATGAGCGGGCCACACGGGGAGCCGGCGGCCGGGGCAGGGCAGGCAGGAACATGGTCTCAAACGTCAGAGGCACCTGTATGGCCCCTCACCTCAAGGGTGGGGCGTCCCTGTGGGACAGCGTCCTTGGCTTGGGAAACATACTGAAGTCTTTGGGGGTGGCAGGCACCCCGGCAGCTCTCCCGAGACTCCGAGAATACTAAGGACAACGGCGCTGTGTGTGTGCAGGGATGGAATCCCGGTGAGGGACATGAGTGTTCTTGGTAGTACACCTGCAGCTTTCCTGTACCTCTGAAATCATCTCAAATCACTTATTCCTAAAAGTCAAAACAGCGCTGGAGAAGCGCTTCTCAGGAAACAAGCAGTGGCGGGTGCCGTCACCCGGGCCTCCCCTCCGAGCACGAGCTGCTCACCAGCCTGGTAGTCGTACAGGGCGACGGCTGTGATCCCCAGGTCGTTCTCGTACTCGTCGTAGGTGCTGTCCTCTAAAAGAAAACAGGACAGAGCTGAGCAACACCAAGTCCCACACCAGTCCCAGCATTCTCAAGCTTCAGACAACACTTCCTAAGATTCTGTCCCAAGGACACAGGATGGCAGCCGAAGCCCTCCCTTCCTCTGCCCCTGCCCAGCAGTTCCCGGCACAACGGGGATCTTCCTGGGACCCAGTGCAGGAGCTGCCGCCCCAAATGTATCTAGAGCACTTCTCAGCTGGGACGGGAAGACCCTGCAAGCAAGTGGAAAACCAGGCTCCTTGGAAGGACACCGCAGGCGGGGGAGGGTGTCCCGGGAGCATCCCCCTGTGGGGCGCCAGTACCTGCAGGATAGCGGCCCGGGGCCTCTGCACTCTCGTAGACAGCCTCTGCAGCGTAGGCCAGGCCCTGCTGACTGCCGGCCTCTCGGTAGTCAGTGGCCTCCACGCTATACACGGGCTCCGGCTCTGGCCCACTCACAGGACTTCTGTAGGTCATCTCCGCCTTGAAGGGAGCCGCGTCCTGGGGAAGGAAGGGTCACACGCACATGGCCCGGGGCCCCTGCTGGCTTCTAGAGAGCAGCGGCCGCACTGCCACAGCCAGCAGAAACCACGGCCAGCAAGGCCCAGGCCCCAGACTCCGCCCGCCTCCAGGGCTCTCTCTGGGCTCCTGAACTGACACGGACTGGAGTGTGCGCCCCTGTAACTCACTGGCTCCTGGGTGAGGATACAGGAATCCACAGACCAGGATGATGGCCACGGGATGGAGAAGGGGCAGGGCCAAGGCCAGGGGAGGTGGTGGTTAGCACAGAGGTGCTGGCAGGGAGGAGACCCAAAGTCAGAGTCAGGTGGGGCATCAACAGACAGCTCAGTAACTCAGGGATGAGGACCCGTGAGGGGGTCAGCAGTACAGGGAGGACCGGAGAGCACATCTGCAGACACACTCGGGAGGGGCTGCAAGGCGGGAGAGCTGAATGGGGCAGGCATTGAAGGCAGATCGCTCAGAAGGCAGGAGCTCAGTGCCAAGGAAGGGCAGCAGTATCTAGCACAGCAGAGAGAAAGTGGGGTGAAGACACCCCATCTGATTATCTGGCAGCAGGTGACCCCAGCGGGGACTGCAGTGAAGTGGCCAGATGGTAGCAGGCTGCAGAGGGCTGAGAGGACAGCACAGGGGCCTGCGCGACTGTCCCAACAGCTCCGGGCATGTTGCCCTCCCCCAGGCAACATAGGCCCACCCCAATCCGGCCCGGATTGCAGTGATGCTGTCAGCGCCCATGCGGTGCTGCCGGCCTCAAGGGCTTCCTCCACTACACAAACAGGACCTGGTCTCTGGCAGTAAGTCACGCTGGTTCAGAAAACAGACACCAACCTCATAGACGGGGCTCGTAGGCAGCCTCTCCTCAGCCGGCTGGGGTGGGGGCGACGAAGGGGGCGTCTGTGTTTTTGCTCTGGCTTGCTCCTGTGAAAACAAACAGCAATCAGAACACTGCCATGCCGCTCTGCATTGTCACACCTGCCATGTTTCAAAAGACTGCGCCCAAGCTCTAGACACACTCTGGGGAAGGAGTGGAAAATGCCCACACCAAGGCTGAGCCGGAGCACCAAGCCTCAGATCCCATCAGTACTCAGGCCCAAGGCTGAGCCAGGGTACCAAGCCTCAGATCCCGTCAGCACCCAAGCCCCAGATCCTGTCAGCACCTGGGCCCAAGGCTGAGCTGGAGCCCCAACCCTCAGATTCCATCAGCACCCAGGCAGGATCCGAGGGGCAACTGTGCTCTGAGGCTGAGGTCACACAGCCAGTGACGTGACAGTGCCAGGACTGCGCCACAGCTCATGTCTCACCCACACTCAATGAGACAAGTCAGGCAGATGGGAGCCTGAGTTGATGCTGCAATGGGCTGAGACTTTGGGGACCTTAAAATGGGCTGAGTGTGTCTGCATATGGGATGGACATGAATCTTTAGGGGCTAAAGGATGAACTGGGGTAGAATTATGGCCTCTCAAAGCTGCTGACATCCAATCTCTCAGATCCCATGGGGAGGGACTCTGTGTGTGATGAAACTACAGGTTCTGTGGGGGCGAGATCTCTGGACTGTCTGGGTGGACCCAATATAATCAAAGATCCCTCGCGGAGCAGGGCAGGAGCGTGAGAACAGATGAAAGCAGAGGCTGGAGTTGGAAGGGTGGGGCCGCGGGGCCGCCAAGAGGAACACAGCCCTGCCGACATCTCTGAGGACTTCCGGCTTCCAGAGCTGTAGGCAATAGCGGTGTGCGGTCGTGGGGCCGCGGGGCCGCCAAGAGGAACACAGCCCTGCCGACATCTCTGAGGACTTCCGGCTTCCAGAGCTGTAGGCAATAGCGGTGTGCGGTCGTGGGGCCGCGGGGCCGCCAAGAGGAACACAGCCCTGCCGACATCTCTGAGGACTTCCGGCTTCCAGAGCTGTAGGCAATAGCGGTGTGCGGTCGTGGGGCGGTGGCTGAAGCAGCAGCAGGAAACTCACTGACAGCCTACGGGCTCCAGGGCCGGACGATGAGTCTGAGGGCGAGGTGGCAGGCACAGGCACACTGGCTAGGGAGCCGCCCAGGCAGGATCTGAACCCCGTGTGTCCACGCCAAACCTCCTCCCTCCTCTGCCTCTGCAGGCTGCCTCACTCTAACGGGAACAATAGTGGTGCTGTCTGTCTCGTCTTGTTGAAGGAAAAACCACCCCTGGCCTCGAGATCCTCGCACGGTTCCTGTCATCTATGGCCTTGCCTGACCCCAACAGGACAGTTTAAATTCCCACATTACCTGGCGCCATCCAGAGGTCAAACACATGAAGTACCATGTGCTGTGTGGCCCCGTAACAGCAGGGCCTGGGTTGGGCAAAAGCCCAGGCTTCCAGACAGGCTGGCAGAGGCCCCAGCTGCAGAGCCATGCTTGGTAACTACACACACACACCTGTAGGCCCCAGGCTGTATTCACAGCCCCCAAATCCAGCTGAGCACAACGAAATTCCTTGCCAGCGGCAAGCCACCCAGGCTAGACCCAAAGCACCCAGAGACAGGCTTGAGCTCTGCCCCAGCCAGAGGTGCACTTCTGGCATCTTCCTTTGGGGGCGCTTCTCCGCAGCCCAGGGGCCTGGGTGAGTGGAGGGCTGTGTGGCTGAGCAGAAGCAGGGCCCAGAGAGCAGGCTGCCTCTGCATAGAGTCCCCTCCAAACCCCAAAACTCCACCTGGGAAAGGAGGGGCTTCTGGAGGGGGAGGAGTGAGAAGACTCAGGCTGACATCTGGACAGGAGGTCCATGGAGGAGGAAGCCAACATGATTCTGCTGTCAGCTCGGGGACAAAGGGCAGGGCAGGCTGGCAGGTCCTGGGGCTGGGCCAGCAAGGCTAGGGTGGGGCTAGCCAGCTGCCTGGAGCATCTCGGGCAGAGACTCAGCTTATATGCCTGCAAGTTACAAGTGCCGTAAGGGAGGGCCTTAAAGAAGAGTTAAGCATGCCTTCCAAGGAAAACCTGGCCTGAGCCAGAAAGAACAGACCCTGCCCAGGCCCCAGAGCCCTCAACCCCCTCAGCTCTGATCCCAGACAGAGAGCGCGGTCCAGCCGACTCCTCGCCGCTCACCTCCAGCTTCCTCCTGGCCTCTTCCTGCTCCTGCCGCTCCTTAGCCATCCGCTGAGCTCTCTCCGCTTCTGCCTTCCGCCGGTCCTCCTGCTCTTTCTCCTTAGCAAGGTTTTCAAAGTTAGCTCTGATGTTACTTGTTTTGCTGGTCACTGCAGAGGAAGGAGGGAGGACGTGTGGCTTCAGCACACCAAAAACACGGCTCCTGGACAGACCAGAGCCCTACACCAGGCGACCTCCCCAGAACCGGTCATCCTGGACCCCCGAGGAGGGAACGGTTCTTGCAGCTGTAGGCTCAGCCCACTGGCCTGGAGCCAGCACTGGGCGCCTGCCGCAGGACACTGAGTGCCTGGTGCAAACGGCGATCCCCCTAAGCTTGGCCCCAGGAAGATCTCTAAACAAGACGGCATCTTCACTGCCACACTCACAATCTTCAATAAAAACAGCCAATTTCCCTAAAAGACGTGTGACCTTGATAAAGCGGTTAAAGGTACCAATGTATACTGAAATTCATGTGTATTGAATATAGTAAATCTCAACCACTGAGTATATTTTTTGATATTCTGTGTGACAAAAATGGACCAGAGGGCAGTGGCTCATGCTGTAATCCCACACTTTGGGAGGCTGAGGCAGGAGGACTGCCTGAGCCCAGGAGTTTGAGACCAGCCTGGGAAATATAGTGAGATCCCAGATCTATTAAAAAAAATAAAAATTTAAGTCGAAAGTGGGGAAGACACATGAGCCACCCCTGCTGTGTACAGGACTGTGGGGGCTGTCGCCCATCTCAAGGTACACAGACACAACTGTTAGGGCTGCAAGGTGACTGTTCTCTCGTGGAATAGCGTTTTCTCCTGAAATAACAACTGACAGACAACCTCGGTCATGCGAAGCTGGGTATCTGGCAGTTTTCTCCCAAGTGAGTGAACTAAGCCTACTGTGTCAGGAAAAATCACTGCAGTGTTAGTCGCCAATGGGAAAACGCCAGCTTTCAAGTAAAGAATTTTGAAAAATGGGAAGCTGCCACATGAACATGACAATTTCCACTTAGCCTCTGCCGATGAGGCTGACGATGACAGCAAGGTGTAATTTTTTTTGGCACTGTGTAATGAGAAAAGTGTCTGAAACTGGAAGATGAGCATAACTCAAGAGATCCAGCACCTTCCAAATCACCAACACACGGTGCTGCCCGAGCACGCTGGGGAGGCGAGCCCCTCACAGGGCCAGAGGAGCCGGCCTGCAGGAACACTACCATCTGCCAAGCCTGGGCGGCACCGCAGGACACCTCACTGCCCTCAAGGCTACAGACGCCCCTCCCTTTCCCAGCTGCCTTCCTAGGTAATTCCACACGTTCTCCCTAAACAACATAACATCGACAGACGGCAGAGGCAGATGTGAGAATGCAGCCATCCTCTATTAAGGAGATTTACAAAAACCAATCCATGCCACTCTTCTAAATGCTGGCATTATAGGCACAAGCCACTGTGCACGGCCCGTTTCATTATTCTTTTTTGAGGAGGAGTTTTGCTCGTCGCCTTGGCTGGAGTGCAGTGGTAGTGGTACAATCTTGGCTCACTGCAACCTCCACCTCCCAGGTTCAAGCAATTCTCCTGTCTCAGCCTCCTGAGTAGCTGGGATTATAGGTACATGCCACCACGCCCAGCTAATTTTTGTATTTTTAGTAGAGACAGCGTTTCCCCATGTTGGCCAGGCTGGTCTCAAACCCCTGACCTCAGGTGATCCACTGCCTTGACCTCCCAAAGTGCTGGGATTACAGCCGTGAGCTACTGCACCTGGCCCTAGTTTTATTATTTTTAAGTGAACTGATTTATAACTTTCAAATGGGTACGGTGGCTCATGCCTGTAATCCCAGCACTTTGGGAGGCTGAGGCAGGTGGATCACTTGAGCACAGGGGTTCAAGACCAGGTGTCTCTCTTTTAGTGAGACCTCCTCTCTACTAAAAATAAAAAAAATTAACTGGGCACGGCGGCATGTGCTTATAGTTCCAGCTCGGAGGCTGAGGCAAGAGGACTGCTGGAGCCCAGGAGACTGAGGCTGCAGTCCTGCCTAGATGACACAGCAAGACCGTCTCAAAAAAGATAAATAGATAAAACATTCCTCTAATTTCTAATATAGTCAGTGTCATCAAACACATCAACGTCTTGGGGGTTCTCACTAGCAACCAAAGTATCAAAGTGTCCTGGGCCCTCAAACTCCGAGATCTGTGGATCCATGGCCCCGCAGTCAGGCAGTGGTGGCTCTTTGCGTCCTGGGTTAAATTTAGCACTTTCTTTCATGTATAATATTCTCCAACTACCTGATTCTCCTGAGCTTGGCCCACCTATGACTCCACTGTGTGCCCAGCACAGAAAAGGCAGGTTTCGAGCTACCTCGTCAAAGGTCCAAGAACCAGCAGCGGAGACAATGTCTGCTGTCACCTGCACACAGACATCATGACATCCTTCTGTCACGACTATGACCGAGTGGCGCAGGGAGCTGGGCAGGCCCTAGCTGCTCCTGGAAGCTGGACCCTTGTGATGTGCACCTAACCCCCTCCTTGCTTTGGGAAGAGCCCCTCCAAACAAACCCCAAAGAAAGAGCTGTACACCATGCTGTATCTGAAAGGTAACTGTAACCTCTGCAGGAGAAACAGGATCTTCATCAAAAGGATAATTTCCCAAAAATACGCAGCAACAACCATGCTTTCTACTAGTGGTGCGTCTGCTCCTGGCTCTGTTTCACAACTGTCCTTCCCCTCAGTGTTTTCCCGGGAAACCACACAGTGCTCCTGGGATTAGCCGGGACTCACCAGCTTCAACAGGTACCGTCTTCTGGTAGGCAGAGGACACCTGGGCGACATCCTCAAAAGTTGATGCATTCTGCAGAGACAGTAAGTGGGCGTCAGGAAAGCACGTTTCCCTCTCCTCCACGCCCTGTGATGGCTCCTGCCAGATGCAAATACCTTCCCCAGATCTTCCCAAAGGCCCAGGGCATAGCCCAGAGCGCTCATCATGGCCTCTCGGTTTTGCACACTATCTGAGGCATGAAAAATATTACCAACCACATTTGCAGGCGATCATGAGTCAGCATTAGCATAAGAAATTATCTCCATCTGCTCTATCATAAACCAATTCTGGGATCCGCTTCAAGCCTTTCCCACCCTCCCTCGCCACCCAGAGGTGTGAGCATTTACAGGAAGAAGACGCCGGGGACACACGCAAGCCTCGGGGCCCGTCCTCCACACCTCCCAGTGGTGCAATCACACCTTCCTGCTTTGTAGGGGACGCAACTCTGGTTTGAGCAAACGATGGCGATGACTCTGAAGTGCTGAACTGGGCGCAGATGGCAGGGCTTGTGGAGACCAGCGGCCGCGCCCAGGTTCACTGCAGGTTTCACCACCTCTGATGAGAACCCCTGAGGCTCAGAAGCCACCAGAGCCCCCACCCCACGGCCCCCTTCTGCCCAGCACTCCTGCTAGCCCGTTCCTGGCCCGCCCTCCTTCCTCGGACCCAGCTCCCTCCTCCTGTCGGTCAGCTCCAGGATCCACTCCGCATCTCCTAAGCCACTCATACCTGTTCAAAGGCAAGGCCATCGGCCTTACTGGGCCCCATCACCCAACATTGCCTCACCCTCAGGGGACGACCTCACCTCACAGCCTGGGTTGTAGCCCCGATGCCACGATATAGTGGGACCTGGGCAGTTATGTCACCCTCTCTAAGCCTGGCGCTCAACTGCACAGCAGACCGAGAGAGAAGCACCAACCCCTCCTGGATTAAACACAAGAGCCCCAAAGGCAGCACCCTCACACTGCCTCCCCATGTGCTCACAAGCTGCCACCGCCAAACCATCAATGCTGACCACAGACACCCACAGCACAGGCAGCCCCTTGGGTTCCAGCCTCGAATCTACAACCTGTGGCCCACCCATATGGGAGCTCATTCCCTCCACCCGTCCCAGCGCCTTTCAAGGCCCTGCCACCTCTGGGTCCCCTGCCCATGTCCTGACTGCATGCCTACTCCCCCTCCCCACTCTGCCCGCAGAGTGGGCCCAGCCCTGGCCCTACCCAAGCTGTCTCTTGCTGACACCCACATCTGCTCCTCCCAGTTCTCCAGCTCCACAGTCGGCCCCACGTCCACCCCACATCCACCCAAAGCAGATCCCCGCACTGTCCCTTGCCTGCTAAACTTTTCAGGGTCCAGCATGTCACATAATGACGTACAGAATGCTCTACGGCATTTGACGCTCTCCAGGGCTGGCTCTAGCCCTCCTCCCTGCCCTCCCTCTGTAGCTCGGCTCCTGGAGAACCTGCTGTGACTCCAGTCCCACGGGGCCCGCGCCTCGCCCTTCTGTGGTCTCCTGAGCTTTTGCTCCTGATGAATTCCCAGCTGCCCTCAAAAATGAGCCCCAGCGACTGCTCCCTGGGGACCCCAGCCCAAACACCTGCTCTGCCTGCCCACATCAGGAGTCCCTGGATGGCACTGTGTGTGGTCAACTGCAAGGCAAGGACTGACCCTACCACCTGTGACCGCCAGCCATGCACAGGAGCAGGAAGTGTGGAGTCTGAGTCTCCGTGATGCCGAAGACAGGAGACAAGGCATCGTCACACAGGCAGCACCGGCTGCCAGGGGGCAGCCCCACACGCAGTCTGACACACTCAGGCTCCAACCTGATTTACTGTTAAGAATTTAAGTTTAGGGCAAGCGCGGTGGCTCACGCCTATAATCCCAGCACTTTGGGAGACTGAGGCGGGTGGATCACGAGGTCAAGAGATCGAGACCATCCTGGTCAACAAGGTGAAACCCCGTCTCTACTAAAAATACAAAAAAAATTAGCTGGGCATGGTGGTGTGCGCCCATAGTCCCACCTACTCGGGAGGCTGAGGCAGGAGAATTGCTTGAACCCAGAAGGCGGAGGTTGTGGTGAGCTGAGATCATGCCATTGCACTCCAGCCTGGGTAACAACAGCGAAACTCAGTCTCAAAAAAAAAAAAAAAAGAATTTAAGTTCAAATGGATGTGAGCCCTCGAGGCCCTCACTGCTCATGTTGAACACCTGGGTTCCCGTGGCAGCCCAGCTGTCCACTGCTGTGCCGCAGCAGGTGCTGAGCCTGCCTGGCCTGCGGCCCCCAGCTAGGAGGTGGGCCAGTGCCAATCCGATCCCACAGCGTGGCCATGAGGAGCACAGGACTGTTGGAGTCAGTCATCGCTGCTGCCACCGCTGCCGCCACCATGACGGAAATCACGTGTGCAGATGGCGGCCAGCACTGTGAGCCACGCCCACCCAGAAGACACCAAGCTCCGGGTCTGAATATTTACCTTATCCATCCGATCCTTCTGTACCCCATACTTCCCGCCGAATCCTTTGGAGTAGTCTGAAACGTGACAAAACACAACACTCACTGTGAGGTGGAGGCGAGCGTGGGGCCGACCATGGGTGCATGCAGACAGATCCAGAGACAGCCCAGGAAGGTGCGCCACGGCAGGAGAAACGACAACAAGCAAGCAAGGCAAGCTTTGCTTCCACCCAAGGTCGTGCGCCACAGGCAGGGGAAGCCGAGCACAGGCCAGGGGCAGGCTTCAGCATTCCCTGAGGGGCAGGAGGGGCGGGAGGGGCGGCGGGCTGAGGGAGCTAAGCCGAGGACAGAGGGCAGGGACAGGGACAGGGACAGGCCTTCGCAGCGCGCCACTTCAATAGCACAGTCTTCCGCACCAGCACGGGCTTATTCTCATCTGCTTCCTGTGCTCCTGCTCTACTGAGCGCTAAAAAGAGGCTCAATCGCAGTTTGTTCTCTTGCTTTTTAAAAGAAAAAAAAAAATCCATGTGGAAACTCTACCAGCCAAACACTTCTGTTGCAGCAACACAGATCCACATGAAAGTCACACCGTCATGCAGAGTGAGGCCACGGAGAGCCACCGCCACCTCCATGCAGTCTGTGGGACCACCCGGGTGTTTACCTGCCCCGGCCTCAACACTGCTGTGCGTTTCTAATGCCGCAGGTGGGAAGCCTAGGATCTGCCCTGCAGGGTTAGGGAATGACTGTTTTTCCAATTATATGTTCAGGCTCTAAGAAGCAAGTCCAGATTCTGAAGGTAACAAAGATACTGCCCTAAGGAAGGGTGTGGAGCTGGCGTCACGCACACACTGTGTGGCTCTGTGTGGAGATGTCACACACACGGTGTCATCAAACGGGACAAACAAAAAACCTCCCACCCCGGCCAAAAACACCACAAATGACACAGACCACACGGGACACGCCTGTCTCCTGGGCCTCACTGCTATGAAGCCCCTGCTCAAATGGCCAGTGGCTTGGCTGGAGCAAACACCTCTCTTGTCATCTGGAAGGCAGGAAGGCCTGACTCAATGGCTCACAGCAGTCACGTTAATGGCACAACAGCCTCTGGCAGGATGCCGCTGAAGAGCGGAGATGCCCGTCCACAGACTGGGTGAGTCACAGGGTTAGAGAGACAGCACCCACTCACTAACTGGCACTTCCTGCCATGCACAGATCGCAGGCTCACAGGGAAGAAGGCGAAGAGCAGCTCAACATCAGTGTGGCTCTAACAGACGTGGGTGTCAGTGCCCAGTGGCCTGACAGTGGACAGCTGGTGACAGAGGAGGGCCATGCTGCAGGTGCTGACGGTGAGCCCTGAAGTCTGTGCTAGAAGTGGCTGCACGGAGGGGGGGAAGGTAGGAGGCTAGTGGCAACTGTGCCTTGCTGGGACTCGTGCTTGGCCAGCTTCTCCTTGTAATCAAACCCCACGGCAGCGGAGTCCTGCCTCTCCGACTGAACACCGAATTTGCCTCCAAAACCAGTCTTATAATCTGAAAATCCACAAGCAACAGTGGGGAAAACAACCGAGAGAGAAAACACAGTAGGGTTAGAGTTACATGAGCAGGTGCAGAAGCAAACACTTTCCGGAAAGCAAGGGCTCTCCCGAGCTCACGGCCTTCAAGATCCAACCCCCAGGCTCAGGGCTGGCTCAAAGGTCAACGTTAAAGAACGAACTGAAAATCCAAACACTCAGCCAAGATCCGGAAACAGGCTAAGAACTGTACTTCAAATAATGCCGTAACAGCACTCTGGGCTGTGCAGCTCACTCCGAGGGTCCTACCCACACTGCAGAGGAGTGTGCATCTGCATCCATGGGAGGAGAGGCCCTGCAGATGCGGAGGGCACCACAGCCGCCTCAGCCCTGCCCCTGCCTCTCGGGGCTGGCTCACACTGGGAGGGTTTCAGCCCCCTTGAGCTCATTTTCCTAGGGATGGGGGACCTGACAAGAAAACACTTCCAGTTCAAAAGTAAGTATCTCCTGCCAAAAACTGCGGCCCACTTTATAGACAAGAAACCTGGACTAGGAGCACTGTTTCTCTTGCACCTCCTGAAGGCAGAAGACAAGCGCATCCCAGAAGCGCTGCAGGCCTGACCTATGCCCCCACTACCCAGCTGAACCCAGCCCCCTGCTGCAGGCTTGACCCATGTCCCTACTCCTGAGGAAACCCAGCCCCCTGCTGCAGGCCTGACCCATGTCCCCACTCCCAGGGAAACCCAGCCCCCTGCTGCAGGCCTGACCCATGTCCCCACTACCCAGCTAAACCCAGCCCCCTGTTGCAGGCCTGACCCATGTCCCCACTACCCAGCTAAACCCAGCCCCCTGCTGCAGGCCTGACCCATGTCCCCACTACCCAGCTAAACCCAGCCCCCTGCTGCAGGCCTGACCCATGCCCCTACTCCTGAGGAAACCCAGCCCCCCGCTGCAGGCCTGACCCATGTCCCCACTACCCAGCTAAACCCAGCCCCCTGCTGCAGGCTTGACCCATGCCCCTACTCCTGAGGAAACCCAGCCCCCTGCTGCAGGCCTGACCCATGCCCCTACTCCTGAGGAAACCCAGCCCCCTGCTGCAGGCCTGACCCATGCCCCTACTCCTGAGGAAACCCAGCCCCCTGCTGCAGGCCTGACCCATGCCCCTACTCCTGAGGAAACCCAGCCCCCTGCTGCAGGCCTGACCCATGTCCCCGCTCCTGAGTAAACCCAGTCCCCTGCTGCAGGCCTGACCCATGTCCCCACTCCCAGGGAAACCCAGCCCCCTGCTGCAGGCCTGACCCATGCCCCTACTCCTGAGGAAACCCAGCCCCCTGCTGCAGGCCTGACCCGTGCTCCCCAATCCCAGGTAAACCCAGCTCCCTGGGCACCACCCCCGTATCCGTGGGGAGGGGTTGTGACTACCCTAGCTGGAGGACTTTTGGAACTGGGGGGCTGGGGGTGCACACAGGACAACTTCAAACAGTGAAGACAAAACAACGTGCAGCAGGCACACGCAGACACAACACACACCAACTGACCCCGCAGGAACAGAAAGAGGCTTCCACAACCATCTCCAGGACGGGCAGGGCCAATGTACCTTTTTGGGATTCATGCAGCTGCAGTTTCTCCTGGTGATCCCAGCCAAGGGCACATTTGTCTTGTCTGTCTGTCTGCACACCAAATTTTCCTCCAAACCCTTTCACATAGTCTACGTGCATAACAAAGGCCAGAACCATCATTAACAGGTAGCGTGGGTCACAGTAAAGGTACAAGTATGTTTTCAATCGTTAAATACACACGATTCACTCAATGGACCCTTGCCTTCTGGATCCCTGGTAATACTTTAGGTAACATCCATGAAGAGGCCCTCCTTGGAGAGTGGCAGAAAATAACCTGGCCTATGACCTTGGCATTGTGACTAAGCCAGACAGGACCCCACGGAAGCTCCCACGCATGCAACTCCGGCCCCCATGAGGCAGCACAGGCTCACACGCACAACCCAGACGTGCGGGGCGCGGCCGCCATGATAAGCAGCGCTGCTGGGCTGGAGCGTCAAACACGCTAAGGCTCCGAGTTCTGATTCAGCAGCTGCGTTTCTGGACTTGCCATCTACGTTAGGGGCTGTCAATAACGCTTTTCTTTCCTGCCACATTAGCAGCTGCTGCCTAGAGAGTGAGAGAAAGCTGGAGACACCTTTCTGCGACTCGTGCTTCTCCGTTTTGCCTTGGTACTCAAAGCCGACGGCGCTCTTATCCACTTTGTCCTTGTCAATACCGTATTTGCCACCGAAACCTTTGGAGTAATCTAAAAACAACAAAAAGAATGACTTACAAAGGAGCCGTGAAATCGGTGGATGTGCAAGGGTGTTCGTCCTTAACAAAGTATTTTATCATTCAATTTAAAACAACACAAAAACCCCTCAGGTCCCCCGTAGCACCACTGAATGAATGATACAGCCAATATTTGAACGTGCTACTTCTGTGCAGTAACAGAAACATAAAGACTGCTAAGCAGGCGTGGGGGCGTGTGCCTACAGCCCAGCTACTCAGGAGCTGAGGAGGGAGGATCGCTTGAGCCCAGGAGGGTGTCCATCCTAAGCAACATGGCAAGACTCCATCTCCACGTTAAATCATTAACTATGAATTTAAAAAACAGGCTAGGCATGGTGGCTCACGCCTGTAATCACAGCACTTTGGGAGGCCAAAGTGGGTGGGTCACCTGAGATCTGGAGTTTGAGACCACTCTAGGCGGAGGAGGCGGCCCAGGGCAAGGCTTTCAAAGGCCACTGTTTCACCAACTGAAGCAAGCCAAGGGACAGCAGGAAATAGGACATAACACGGAGCATCTTCCAGAAACATCACTTCTACCCAAATGAAGCCACTGAGCATGTCACTTTGAAACCAAAACATGACTCTCGTGGACCCATTGAAAGCACAGATGCAGAGGCTCGAGGCCTGAGCCATCCTAGGAGCCCTACGTCTGCCCAGGCACTCGGCCCGCACTCCCAGGCTCCCTGTAGTCACACATACACGTGGCTTCCTGGAGCATGCGCCGCTCAGGACTGTGCAGCATCAGGAAGACGAGGAACCGACTGTTAGAGGAAGGAAAGCAGCCCTGTGCAACTAGCAGGGCCTGCAAATGCTGGGGCCATAAAGGGAGCCCAGAGAAGCCCGTTGAGGCCAGGCCAGGCTTCGACAAACTGCAGTAAGCCAAGCTGCCCTTCAGGCTGCGGCACGTTCCTTGGACACGCCAAGCCGGTGCGGCTGGATCTTCCAGTGGTGTTTCTTGGTTCGGGGTATTTATTTTTCAAAGAAATCTGAGTTTTTAAATAGCCAAGCTGTCAGTTTCCAAAGGTGGGCAAATATTTTTTAAAAATGTAAATGTGCAGGCCAAACAAGAGAGGCACAGGGAAGCCAACAGGCTGCACCCTCTACAACAACACTGGGTGAGTGATGTTTGCAGGGCGCTGGGAAGCGCTGGGGGAGCGATCTTTACAGGGCACTGGGAAGCGCTGGGGGAGCGAAGTTTACAGGGCGCTGGGAAGCGCTGGGGGAGCGATCCTTACAGGGCGCTGGGAAGCCCTGGGGGACGAGCGATCTTTACAGGGTGCTGGGAAGCGCTGGGGGAGCGATCTTTACAGGGCACTGGGAAGCACTGGGGGACAAGCGATCTTTACAGGGCACTGGGAAGCGCTGGGGGAGCGAAGTTTACAGGGTGCTGGGAAGCGCTGGGGGAGCGATCTTTACAGGGCGCTGGGAAGCACTGGGGGACAAGCGATCTTTACAGGGCACTGGGAAGTGCTGGGGGAGCGATCTTTACAGGGTACTGGGAAGTGCTGAAGGAGCGATGTTTACAGGGCGCTGGGTGATCGATGTTTGGGGGGCGCTGGGAAGTGCTGGGGGAGCGATGTTTATGGGGCACTGGGAAGCGCTGGGGGAGCGATCTTTACAGGGCACTGGGAAGTGCTGGGGGAGCGATCTTTATAGGGCACTGGAAAGTGCTGGGGGAGTGATCTTTACAGGGCGCTGGGGGAGCGATGTTTATGGGGCACTGGGAAGCGCTGGGGGAGCGATCTTTACAGGGCACTGGGAAGTGCTGGGGGAGCAATCTTTACAGGGCGCTGGGTGAGGATGTTTAAGGGGCGCTGGGAAGCACTGGGGGAGCGATGTTTACAGGTGCTGGGAAGCGCTGGGGGAGCGATGTTTACAGGTGCTGGGAAGCACTGGGGGAGCAATGTTTACAGGGCACTGGGAAGCGCTGGGGGAGCGAAGTTTACAGGGCGATGGGAAGCGCTGGGGGAGCCACGTTTATGGGGCATGCAGTCAGTGGCCAAAGAAGTCAGCACAGCCTCCACGGACAACGTGGCAGCATCCAGGGAAACTTTACAGTCGATAGCCTTCGACCCAGCACTTCCACGTCTAGGAGCTGATTCTTCTGAATAATCACTGTGTGTAAGACACAGGTACAAGATGTTCTCTGCATTCAATTTCTGGCTAGGCGCGGTGGCTCACACCTATAATCTCAGCACTTTGGGAGGCCGAGGTAGATGGATCACCTGAGGTCAGAATTCGAGACCAGCCTGGGCAACGTGGCCAAACCCCATCTCTACTAAAAATATAAAAATCAGCCAGGTGTGGTGGTGTACACCTGTAATCCCAGCTACCCAGGAGGCTGAGGCACAAAAATCACTTGAACCAGGGAGGTGGAGGCTGCAGTGAGCCAAGATCATGCCACTACACCCCAGCCTGGGCGACAGAGAGAGACTCCGTCTAAAAGAAGAAGAAAAGAAAAAATATTTTACAGGTCACGCCTGTAATCCCAGCACTTAAAAAAAACAAGGTGGGAAAATTGCTTGAGACCAGGAGTTCAAGAGCAGTCTGGGTAACATGGCAAGAGCCCATCTCTACCAAAAAAAAAAAAAAGAGAGAAAAAGAAAGAACCTAAATTCCACATTCAAATGAGGAATGGTTATGTGGACTACAAAATCCGCATACGGCGGGGGACGGTGCAGCCATTCAAATGAGGAAAAGCCCAAAGACACTGGTACAAAAAGAACGCCAAACACATTACGTTAAAAAAAATACAACAATCCATGTGTAGGGAGGGAAGATGCCATCATGTTTCTGTGGGGGAGCACATGATCACACGGGCTGGGAGGCCGCTCACCTCTCTGTGATTCGTGCTTCTCCGTCTTGCCCTGGTAGTCGAAGCCCACGGCGCTCTTGTCTACGCGGTCGGCCTGCACGCCATACTTGCCGCCAAAACCACTGGAGTAGTCTGAAGAGACAGGGCAGCAGTCAGCACACGGGCCAGGTGACAGACGAAGCAAAAGTGTGTAGCGTTACAACTCACAAACAGATCAAGCACACATTTTAAAACATACAATGAGCCACCCACTGCTCCATACGGGTGGCGCTGGACACATTCCACAACAGGGGCGTAGTGGGGTTCTGGGCCCTGTCAGCTGTCACAGGGCAGCTCCTCTGTGTTGTCTGAAATGAAGCCGTGTGCCCACTTTGAAAATCAGCTGCTTGGGTAAAAGTTAGAAAGGCTCATACGAAGAACCAGCACTTTAGGAGGCTGAAGCGGGCAGATCATTTGGGGCCAGGGGCCTGCCCAAAATGGTGAAACCCCATCTTTACTGAAAAGTAGAAAAATTAGCCAGGGGTGGTGGGGCACACCTGTAATCCCAACTACTTGGGAGGCTGAGGCAAGAGAATTGTTTGAACCCCAGAGGCAGAGGTTGCAGTGAGCTGAGACTGCGCTGCTGCACTCCAGCCTGAGCAACAGAGCAAGACTCTGTCACAAAAACAAAAAAACAGAAAAACTGGAAAGAGAAAGCCTCATCTGAAGCCACGCAGCTGAACACGGCAGATAAGACACTGAATAAGTGGAGAAGTTTAAGGTACCAGTATGTCTTGGTCTTTAAAAAATGAGACTAGTATGATGTAATGGAGATTAATCCCCAGTACAGTAAGACCGTGTGTGCATAATGAAAACAAGAATTTAACAACTCTGGTTTCTATCCTGGGGGTGGGGGGCAGGGAGTTAGCTTTTTGCCAATAAATCTGAGAACTCTCTTTTCCAGGAGCAGCACTGCCCAGATGAAGGGAAGGTGGCTTCCGCTACAAGGGGGACGCCCCATAGTGACACCAGATGCCAAGGCTCTGAGGGGGCTGCTCCGAGGGGGCTGTGTAATGGGGGATGCATCCGTCATATGGTATCCGGATGATCCCGAAACACGAAGAGCAGAGCAGAATCCTCCTTATGCAACAGCCACCGCCGGGAAACAGCTCCAGGGAAAGAGGCAAGGCTGGAGAAACATCGCCATTCCCGGGAAGCATCAGCACTCCTTATTCCATTCTTCCTCTTTTGTGGCCTCCTCCCCATCAGGGTCCCTTTCTGTGCTTTTCACGTCTTACCCTTCTGGGAGGCGTGCTTCTCAGTCTTCCCCTGGTATTCAAAACCTACGGCAGACTGTGACGACCAGAAACACATTGAAACATGGGGAGAGATACATTTTTTCAATGTCCCCAAACCAATCTCTCTGAATTGAGGACATAGGAAATTTTAAAAAACATGAAACACGTTGTTGTGACCTCCGGGTCCTAAGCCAAGTGTAAGTGACAGTAAAGCCAGAGCTCTGGCGTCCTAAGCGGACAGGCCAGCAAACATTCCACAAGGCCCAGTGAGCAAGGGGGCCCAGCAAGGGGGACAAGCTGGATCCCTGGTACACGGTGGCAGGGTGTGCTCAGCTGATTCATTCCATGGGCTTCACAAAAACTTCCTTTTCAAATAAGCCATGCTGAGAACATTAATATTAATAACAAGAATAGCAGTGGCCACTGGGGTGCACCCCTGCCAGCCGGGCACTGCGATGGGCATCTGAGCACACGCCTATGAGACAGATGGGATCCTCCCCCTCATTTCACAGACACATCAATTCAGAATCGTGAATTGTCACGAGGCCACAATCTGCCACTGGCATCAGCTCCCTCCAGGCTCCTGATTGCTCCACTATGAAACAAAGGAGCCAAAAGCCCCGAGCAGAAGAGAATCAGAGAAGAGGCTCAGGCCCAGGATGACTGCAATACCCAGACACGAAGCCTGAGTTCTGGACCCAAGGAGCGCATCCTGCTCCCCAGTACAGGCTCTGATGTCACTCTGTCAGTCACACACACGTGAGAAACATGGGTGGAACTGGTCCCGGCTGGCACATCTGGACACAGCGCCGTCCAGTACTGGGGCATGCAGTGAAGAGTGGCCGCAGGGACTGCTACAGCAAGCCCGCTGTGTCTGGGCCCAGGCTCTCAGAGCATCCCAGGAGCAATCTGCCCCTCTCTGCAGTCCCCCAGAGCTGGAGGCCACCTGCCTGCTACTGCCAACGGCCCAAAGGGGCTGAGATCCATGGGGAACACCGCCCTTGCCCCAACCGGCCCTAGTCTCAGCACCACGTCACTCACCTGGTCAACTCTGTCCATCTGGACACCAAACTTGCCTCCGAAGCCACGGACCGAGTCCACCTGCGAGCAGTGCTTGGAAAGTTTCGACTGATACTCGTGGCCAACAGCTGACTGGAACAGGGTTCAAACAAAAAGCCTTAGACACTGACGACACAGCAGCGCTTCACTTGCTCCCAGAGCAGGGCTGCGGGAAGCCACCTCCTGGTCAGTGCAGGGAAACCTTACGTCAGCACTCCCAATGGGGGAGCTGACGAGGGGAACCCGATGCCTGGGAGACCCGGGTCCATGGTGCAGGTTTACATGGACACCCCAGCCCCTGGGCTCCTGGAAGCTGCACATGAAGCCTGGCCACAGGTCAGGGCCACCAGTGGGGACTTCTGATACGACTGGGCATGAAGAAGGTGCACAGGGCCGGCAGTCTGCAGTAGGACCTGTGAGACCCACTGCTGTGGACACTGCTGGCCTCTACTGAAGTGGGGCCTCTGCAAGTCACATAACCCAAGAATCAGCACAAAGAATAGTCTGCAAATGAACAATTTTGTTATGGTAGACTATAAACAAAACTAGTATGGAGAACACAGACTCACATTCGATCTGAGCAGCACCCCATTCAGGTGGGAGCCAGGTGCCGGCCATTACACCAGCTCATTTCAGCAGCATTAATGTCCTTAGCCCCCGCCAGTGCACACAGGTTTGAGGACCTTCTGTTCCCCAGAGCCAGCAGGTAAGCCTAGGCTTTCCAGACCCCGTGCCCAGCTCCTTCTGTAAATAACACCTCTGGGGCACGGCCAGACGCATTCCCCAGCGTGCTGTCCAGAGCTGCTTCTCTGTTTGGCAGTTTCGAAGAGAGATCCTCTGGTACAAAGCGGAAAAGATCTCCTATCTCAAAGCGCTGGCCCCACCCAGCCCTGCCAGCCCCACCGAGGCCCCAGGGTTCCGGGCTCCCTCCTCACAGCAGAGCCGGGTCAAGGGCTCCTTCATGAGCACATGCAGAGGGCATGGAGAAAGCCTTACTCCCTCTCGTATGTGGAGCCCCTCTTTCAAACCCAAGCAGCATGCCACAGCGGTGCTGACACACGGCTGGCAACTCAGTGTCCACTCTTTTCCCTAATGAAAAAGCAGGTTTTGTCCTAAGCCTCGGGCCTGTGCTGCGCCCTCTTCTTCCCATGTTGTTCTGAGGTCAGCAACTGACTCCCCATCTACATGAGCCATCACCTCCAAACCCTCTGCAGCACAGATGGCCCATCATGTCCCCGGGGTCTCACCCAGAAGACAGATGAAGGGTTGGCAGAGGCAGACTTGCCAAAGGGGTTCCCAGCATGAATTTTTGTCAGAAGGAAGTATGACAGCTAGGCAAAGCTTCCAGCTCTCTGATCTTACATTGACAAGATCACATCTTATGAAACAGTGACACAGGGAAGACCATCTTGAAGCCTGAACGTGTAAACCCAAGGCTCCAGGATGCAAGGAGACAAGGGAGCAAGAAGGAAGCCAGCCCTACGCGATGCACGCAGCCACCGCCGGCCCCGGGAGGAGACGATGCATGCAGCCACGGCCGGCCCGGGAGGAGAGAGCACTGCACGATGGAAGCAGCCACTGCCGGGAGAGAGCAGTGCACGATGGACACAGCCACTGCCGGCCCCGGGAGGAGAGAGCAGTGTGCGATGCTCGCCGCCGGCCCCGGGAGGAGACGATGCACGCAGCCACCGCCGGCCCCGGGAGGTGAGAGCAGTGCGCGATGGAAGCAGCCACTGCCGGGAGAGAGCAGTGCGCGATGGACGCAGCCACCGCCGGCCCCGGGAGGAGAGAGCAGTGCGCAATGGACTCAGCCACCGCCGGCCCCGGGAGGAGAGAGCAGTGCGCAATGGACTCAGCCACCGCCGGCCCCGGGAGGAGAGAGCAGTGCGCGATGCACGCAGCCACCGCGGGCCCGGGAGGAGAGCAGTGCGCGATGCAGACAGCCACCGCCGGCCCGGGAGGAGAGCAGTGCGCGATGCAGGCAGCCACCGCCGGCCCCACGGGAGGAGAGCAGTGCGCGATGCAGGCAGCCACTGCCGGCCTGGGAGGAGAGCAGTGCACGATGCAGGCAGCCACCGCCGGCCCCACGGGAGGAGAACAGTGCGCGATGCAGGCAGCCACCGCCGGCCCCACGGGAGGAGAACAGTGCGCGATGCAGGCAGCCACCGCCGGCCCGGGAGGAGAGCAGTGCGCGATGCAGACAGCCACCGCCGGCCCGGGAGGAGAGCAGTGCGCGATGCAGGCAGCCACCGCCGGCCCCACGGGAGGAGAGCAGTGCGCGATGCAGGCAGCCACTGCCGGCCTGGGAGGAGAGCAGTGCGCGATGCAGGCAGCCACCGCCGGCCCCACGGGAGGAGAGCAGTGCGCAATGCAGGCAGCCACCGCCGGCCCCACGGGAGGAGAGCAGTGCGCGATGCACGCAGCCACCGCCGGCCCCACGGGAGGAGAGCAGTGCGCGATGGACGCAGCCACCGCCGGCCCCAAGGGAAGGGTGCAGCACACTGAAGCCCCAGTGTAAACAGAATCCCGACAGCCCTTGCCACACGCTTCTCATGTGTGCTTGTCCTCAATGTGTTCTTTTTTTCTGGAAGTCTCCAGCACATATTCCTCAAGTCTTAACACAGGGATTTCAATTTTTAATTTATTTTCACCTTCTGGAGTGGGCAAGTTACAAATAAGCCATTTCCCCTTTAGTTTGGAATCTGAGTTTAATCTATTTATTTCCTGAGGCAGAGTCTCTCTCTGTTGCAAAGGCTGGACTGCAGTGGTGCGATCGTAAGTCACTGCAGCCTCCATCTCCCAGGCTCAAGTAATCCTCCTGCCTTAGCCTCCAAAGCCACTGGGACTACAGGTGTGCACCACCATGCCAAATTAATTATTTTTTTGTAGAGACGGTCTTGCTATGTTGCCCAGGCTGGTCTCAAACTCCTGGGCTCATGCAATCCTCCTGCCTTGGCCTCCCAAGATACTGAGATTACGGGTGTGAGTCCCAGTAGCTGGCCCTGTTATTTTTGACAACAGATCTGCCCCGTGGTGCTCTCCTGAGCTGGGAGCTAATCTTGCCCAGATGCCAGCCAGGACCAAGCAGCAGCAGCGCCCCGTGCTGGCCTTGTTCTGCCAGGACAGCTCTCCAGCGTGCTGGCTGACATGACAGCAAGGCTCCACAAGCCTCCTGGGTTCCACCAGCACATCGGCCTAAGAGGTGGGGCTCGTGGCGCTGGGCCAGGCATGAGGTAAGGACGACAAGTCCCGATCCTTGAAGAGCCCAGCCCAGAGGGGAGTCTCACTGGGAAGGACGGCTGACGAGGGAAGCAGAGGCTGCCGTGGAGAGGGCACAGGGGATAGGGAAGTGAAGCCTCTTCCAGAGAACTCCTGGCACCCGAGAGGGCCTGAGCTGCAGGTTCCAGGGTGAGCGACATTCAGGCTGAAGATCGATACAGTCCAAGCAGCAGCGAAGCCAACCACAGCAGCTGCCCTACCAGGCTCTCCCTGACACATCTCCTTTCTCTCCCGCCATGTGTAATCTTCCCAACCCAGAGCAGGGAGCCCCATTTTTAGAATAAATTTCTCTCCGTGCTAACTCCCCACAAGCCCCAAGCAGGTAGAAAAAAGGCTTCTACCTACTTGCTTGGCTCACTGCACTGAACACATGGCATCTGTGTCTCCATCCAGTGCTCCACTGACTGCGTGGAACACGGGTCTGCCTGCCTGTCTGCACTCCTAAAAGCTACCAGACTTTTTTTTTTTTGCTTCAAAGATAAGTATTCTGCACATGCTGCTCTTCTTGGTGTCACGGCGTCTCTGTGGTAGTGACACAGCAACATCCATGTCTCTTTCCTGCAGATGGCCCCTACCCCACTCTTCCCCCAGGCTATTTACAGGCATGGGCTGGGTGCCCTGCCGGCCCACCACATCATCTGCTCTGCAGGGGACAGAGCAAGGTGCCGCTCACTGTGACACAGCAAGGTCATGCCGTGCCCAGCTCAAAATGTTTATCCGCCCAGTACACCAGGTGGGAGAGGAATGGAATTACCACCTGGAACCCAACACCGGCTGACACACTTCTTCCACAGAGTAAAGGCAAACATCAATCTTACGTCGCCTTACTCCAAAGTCCACCTCCGGGATGCCTGCAGAATGCAGAGCTGTTTCCTGAAGAAACATGCAGACACACTAGACTCTTCCACCTTCTCTGCAGGAAGGAAAAGTAGCCCTCCTGAGCTAATGTTGCTCCCTCTCACAGGGTAGAGAGGCCCTCAAGAACGGGTGGAGCCAGATACATTTAGCCACCGTCCTCGATCCACGTCGGCACGGCGGTCTGCATCCGTCAACGATGGCTCCTGGGTGGCTGGCCCACACCTCCGACAGTGAGCTCTTTCCCCAGCCTCGTGGGCGCCGACTTGACACAAGGGACAGACTGCTCTGAAGGCCACTAAACGCATGAAGGACGTTAGCCAGGCCTTCGGCTGAATGTCCATGTGTGTCGTCAACCACAGGAGCCTACGATTTGATTCTGGTGTTCGGATCGGCATGACTTAGGCGCAAGCTGGAACCGCAGGCGTTGATAATGACAACACCTGGAGACGGCATGCTTCTGGACTTGTCCTGATCACAAGGCCGCCTCTGGGGACCCACCTCCCTCCTGGCCTCCCTGTGTGACGCTCACGCTCCAGCACCTCTGCGGGTTCTTACAGAGCTCTGAGGAAAGCCAGAGTACTTCACGGGCAAGTCCAATGCACAGGGACGCCTCACGGCAAATCTCAACCTCAGCAGACGGACTCAAAGCTGCTGATGGAAGGAAAATCTGAGGGACGGCTGTGCCAACCAGACATGTGGTCTGAGCACAAGAGGCGGCACAGGCGGCCGCTGGCCACTCACCTTGTCCATTCGGTCCTGCTCGACGCCAAATTTCCCTCCGTAGCCGTGGGAGGCTTTTGGTCCTGTTTCAAGTTCCTTCTCCTTAAGGGTCTGATGTTCTTGAAAAACATTCTCTCTCAGCTTGTGAATGCTTGAAGGAAGGAAGAGGAAAATGGGAACAAATCAATAAAACAGATGCGCATCTTTGCCTCCTGAAATAAATAAGAACAGGTGACACTGTCTTCATAAATGTGGAAACCTGCTTGTTCACCAGTTCTCTCCCTGCACTGTGTTTCCTGCCCATCCTGCTGGCTGGTCCACCCACTTAGGCAGCCCCCAGTGAGATGCGTGCTCCGCAGGAGAAGGAACACAAATCTGGGCACAGTGGGATCATCCCAAATCCCCGCTAAAGACGGCTCTTCTGAAACCTGAGCTTTGTTTCACACAGGGAAAATAGTAAGCTAGTCTGTAATCATCCAGAGGTAGAAGGGAAACAGAGGCTGAGCTGCCTTTCTCTAACCACTGGCAGAAGTCCACTGGTGCTGAACATCTAGATGGTTCGTCTTTACTTGAAGTACTCCAGCTTTTCATACATTCAAAGAGAGAGGAAAGTGGTTCCCAATTCAACATCTAAACACCATTAAAAACTTTTTAATATAACCGATAATGAAACAGATCAAAAGATGCAGTCAGTATCTGGCAGGCCGGACACAGCTGTCATTGTGAGACCCCACAGTGGTATAAAGGCCACCTTCGCATCAGACTTTTTGCTCAGGAGACACCAGGCTGCCACCTAACATCTGGACAATAATCCTAGACCTGAGGATGAAATACAAACCAGGCTTGGAAACCACCCAATACCCTTATGAGCAGGGGAAAGAAAGACACCACTTCTAAAACCTGGGAAGGCCCCAGAGCATGAAACATGGTCTTATTCCCCACACGTTCCTCTCTGAATCCTGACCAATCCACAGGCTTTTGTACTGGACAGTTCTGTTCTTAATCCAAGCCACCCTCCAAGACATGTCTTGAAGCCAGAGGGAACAGGAGAGATGAGAAGAGGTATGACGACTCAACGAATTCGGGCGTCTGCCTAACCCCACAGCACACACCCAGGGCTGCAGTGGACTCTGAGTCAGCCCCATTCCAGTCTCCTGCCCTGGGCAGCCACATGGCCCTTGGAGTTCTGAAGCTGCTTCTGTGGAAGGCAGTGTGCTGAGCAAGCCACTAAAGCTTGTGTATAAAAAGCCAGCGTGGCCGGGTGCAGTGGCTCACACCTGTAATCCCAGCACTTTGGGAGGCTGAGGCAGGAGGATCGCCTGAGCTCGGAAGTTCGAGACCAGCCTAGCCAACATGTGAAACCCATGTCTACTAAAAATACAAAAAAAATTAGCCAGGTGCGGTTATAGGCGCCTGTAATCCCAGCTACTCGGGAGGCAGGAGAATCACTTGAACCCAGGAGGTGGAGGTTGCAGTGAGCTGAGATCGCACCACCGCACTCCAGCCTGGGCGACAAGAGCGAAACTCTGACAACAACAACAAAAATGCCATTGTGGCCAGGTGCAGAGGCTCACGCCCATGATCACAGCACTTTGGGAGGCTGAGGCAGGAAGATCACTTGAGCCCAGGAGTTCAAGACCAGCCTGAGCAACAAAAGCAAGACCCTGTCTTTACAAGAAATAAAAGAACTTAGCTGGCCACGGTGGCACACACCCATGGTTCCAGCTCCTCAGGAGGCTGAGGCAAGAGGACTGCTTGAACCCAGGAAGTCAATGCTGCAGTGCGCTGTGACTGCATTACTGCACTCCAGCCTGGGTGACAGAAAGCCCCTGTGAGGACTGTGCCTGAATCTTTCTCAGCTGAAGGGACCGTGGCCAAGCCAGACAGTCTTCCCAGGGTTCTGAGGCGGTCACCGGGTCAGTGGTGCTACCTGCACAGCCAGGGAAAAGGAGGGCACACTCTGAACCCAGCGTGGTCTAAAATAGAAGTCTGAGCACATTTTATAAGTTACTTTTATCTGCATTTCCTGACGGAAAAAACGGCCCCAAGAGCTGGCATTTGAGATAGTGCTGAGTGGGAGACAATGGCAGGGCTCACTCAGCTCCCGACTCCAGAGCTCACAGTACCTCACTACTACCACAGGATCATTTCCAGAGAATTGAAAAGGGAGGGACGTTTAAGGTCTAAGGGACTCGGACATCCCAGGCTTCAGAAGCCTCGCACTTATAAGGTAGAGCTCTGGGAAAACATGCTCCCTGATAAGAGCCACAATGCTGAAAGCAGATGCTCTAAAATTATAAGTATGGAAATGTTTGCCACGGGAACGTAAACATTACTGAGCACATAAGTACCTACATGCACACATAGAAACACCTATGTTACGTATGTGCATATATGCGTGTGTGCCTCATATTTGTCTACTGTATGGGTATCAGGTCAAGGAGATACGAGTAGGTTCCACCCAGGCTATCCCTCCACAGACGACCATGGCTAGAGGCCCTGCTACAGCCCGGCTCCCCCGCAGAGGGGCCCTCAGGAGGCGGCGGCGACGACGACTCTTACTTGATGTGCTCCTGGTGCCCGGAGCCCTGCACGGTCTTGGCACCCCAGCGTTGCTCCTTCTCACTCACATCGTTCTGAAAAGAAAAACGGCCGGTAAACCCCACAGCCCGGATTGTGACACAGACAAACCACCACCCCTCAAAGGAAAACCCAGAAGAGCCATTTCCACTTGCTGAAAAAGGAAAGCAAAGGCTGGCGGCTCCTACCACAAAATCGGGGTCGGTCTCCCAGTCGTCGGCTCCCGCGTCATCCTGGGTGATGGACACAGCGTGGCCTGCCGAAGCTTTCCACATCTGAAAGAGCAGCCGGGGGAGGGTTACGAGGCCTCAGGGGCGCCATCCAGAGGCCACAGAAGAGCCCTTTGGCCAAAGCTACTGAGATTCTAGGCAACCCAGGTGGACGAGGCTGCAGGCCAGCCAGTTCCTTCACGATCCCTAAGCCCGAATGACAACCACAGGAGTGAGAGAAACTCCTCGGGGCTCTAACGCTGCCATCAACTGCGTCAGAAATACACTGGAAATACTCTTTGGCTTCAACGCAAGTGAGAAAAGTTCTGGAAAATGAAGTCGGGTGTGCACTTACTTGATTGATTAAGAATATATGCGTGTTCTGCTAAATCATGATGACTCTTGTTCCAAGCGAAAATAAAGGCACCATTTGGGATTGCACGTTACAACACGCTCAACGTTACCAATGGTCAGTCTCATGGTACGTGTGTTTTTACCACCATTTTTTTAAACAACAGCATCCATTTTGATTTCAAGTGCTTACTGAAACTGTAACAATAATTTTCTTAATTCAGTCTGACAGTATAATAAAGGTTTCAAGTGGTTTACTGGAGAATTGCTTCACCCTGTACTTGGGAGGACACAGGAATATGAAATGCCACCTTCCCCTCTGCAAGTGGGCAGTCCCTTCCTCTCTCAGCACTTTAAGGCTGGAAGGTTTCCCCTGTCACAGAGAACAATGGCACATCTGTGAACCCTAATAAGATAATTCTTTTTGTAACTGCAGTGGTAAAATCTAAACTTTCAAGGGTTTTTTTTTTTTTTTTTAAACTATGTATTAAAAGAACTAATTCCTTTTCCACAGAAACAGCAATACAATTTCACATAGGCCACAGAGCAACTGAGAGATTATTTTAAATCAAACCAGAAGCTGCGGCCAGGGGTCTGAACCCAGGACACCCAATTCACTTTTTCTCAGGCACCATGTTGGGACTGGAGTCCCTGGGATCAGGACAGGACAAAAGCCCTTCGCAGCCTGAGAATGTCCTATCTGGCTCCTCCTCCTCCAGCCTGGCTGGGTCTCAAGTCCAAATCAAAAGTGACAGTGAGGGGCCAATCAGGACACTGTGCTCTTAAATTTCTAACGCAACTTTGTCTCTCGGGCAAGGACCGTCTGACCCAAAGACAGGACCAACAAAGCCCCAAAGCACAGCAAGAATTTCCAGAGAGATCTGCTTTTGAGAGGATTTTAGAGAGCAGATGAACTAGAATCTTAGAACTGAAAGGCACGGCCCGACATGGTGGCTCACACCTGTAATCCCAGCACTTTGGGAGGCCAAGGTGGGCAGATCACAAGGTCAGGAGTTCAAGACTAGCTTGACCAACATGGTGAAACCCCGTCTCTACTAAAAATACAAAAAAATTAGCCTGGCATGGTGGCAGGCACCTGTATAGTCCCAGCTACTAGGGAGGGTGAGGCAGGAGAATCGCTTGAACCCGGGAGGCGGAGGTTGCAGTCAGCCGAGATTGCGCCACTGTACTCCAGTCTGGGCGACAGGGCGAGACTCCATCTCAAAAAGAAAAAAAAAAAAAGAACTGAAAGGCACAAGGGCACAACCAGTCAGTCTAGTCCCAATGCCCCATTTATAAATGAAGAAAAGGCTGCAGGAAAGAGAAATGGTATGCTCCGCCTCCAGTTGCCCCATGGCACCACGCTGCCCGGGCTAAGGGGTTGCCCATCTGTGGGACTTCAGCTGCCTATGGTTCCAACCCCTGAGGAAGTGGCCATAGGAAAGAAAGGACGGGAGTCCCTGCAGGCCTGGCCAGGTCGACCTTCACCCCCAAGTCACAGGTGAAAGAGGGCAGGTGTCTTTGCCTGTAACTTTTTCAGGCTCATCAGGGAAAGATTAGAAGGGCATTCTCTACCAATCTTCCCAAAGGCAGCTTCACTGGGGGCGGGGTGGACACTGCAAGCTTCACAGTCCCATGCCTGGGGGCCCCCACCCACTTTCAGGGGTGGCGAAGGGGCCAGATTTCCCCCTCAGGGAAGACAGGAATGCGTTCTGTTCCTCAGTTCCAGAGTTTTCTCCAACTGTCTCCTCTAGGTCATATACAACAGAAACGACTGTTTTTTACAATGAAATTTCCTTTCAGAAAATTATCACTCTCCCAGGAAATCCAGAGCAACAGCAACCTCCCGTTTCCTGTCGATGGGTTTCTGCCCTTACCATCCACAAGAAAGAATGTCAGGATGTTCACAACACACAAGCACCTTTCTTTCCGCTGGGAGATAAAAGGCTGTTCACAAAGCTCTGTTTAAAACCCGGCAATCCAACGAGGAATTTCCAGGCATCGGGGAACGATTTCGTCTGTAAAAAGATTAAGGGTAAAAAGCTCAGAAGGCTGTCTATTGATCGGCTCCCTGGGCAAACCCTGCTGTGTAGAGATCTTTTTAGAATACTTCAGAAATCCTCCCAAACGTAACAAGGTTTTGTAATGAAATCTCAAAGGAGGATGGGAAGATCTGCATTTTACTAATGGAAAAGTTCAACACAGAGAAACTAAAGAAGAAAGTTTTAAAAGATTTCTAACTACATGATGCTTCTTATTAATGCAAACAGAAATTATTGCCTCAATTGCTAGTACACATTTACTGTCTGCTATAATTCTTACAAGTTTTTGCTCTTTATTCATACTAATTAATGACACTAAAATAAAATAGTTACTGTGAGCTTTTTACAAGAATAATATAAGAAAAGCACTCCTTGAGAGGATCATGATATGGCTGGGAGAAGAAACCAGTACGGTGACATCTATGAAGACGTGAGTGTGGCAGCTGGAGAGCCGAGAAGTAGGTTGTATTCTAATGCACATATACAGTTACAGCGCAGGGAGCAAGACTCCAGTTCCCCAGAGGGTGGCCAGGCACATGACCCCTTCCCTGGGACCACACATCAGCCTCAACTGGACACCACACACTGACAAATGAAATCCCTTTGTCCCTAGGAACAAGCCGGTCTCAGGCAGAGCAGTTTCTCATGCATTAGGAACGAGGGGATGGCACTTGGCTGGCCCTCCCAGTAATTAATTCATTTCCTATCTGGTTCCTGACCCAAGTATTTGCTCTGTCTCTCTCCCGAGTTCTCTTTGGCAACCCTAACTTCTAGAATGCTTGGTACATTCTTGTTACTGCAGTTACTAGTACAATCAGCAAGCATCTATACAACTCTGCCTAAAAAACTAGCCAGGCACGGTGGTGTATACCTGTAGTCCCAGTTACTCAGGAGGCTGAGGAGGGGGACATGCTTGAGCCCAGGGGCTCACGGGGGCAGTAACCCATGATCACACCGCTGCACTCCAGCTTGGGAGACAGAGGGAGACCCTGTCGGAAAAATAAATAAATCATAACGTAAAAACTAGAAATCTACTCATGTGCAGCTTAGGATAGGCTCAAATCTACGATTTTATCCCCTCAATATTTGAAATTTTAAAAAGTCACAAAAATAAGCAACAGATAACAAGCTTGATTGTTTTATGGATCCAAAGATAATGCCTCTAGACCCCTACCTCAAACCATACAGAAACACTAACTCAAAAATGAACTGAAATCCTAAAAAGATGTAAACTGTTGTGACTTTGAATTTGGCAACAGTTTCTTAGATATGATACCAAAACTTAAGAGGGGAAAAAAATAAATTGTACAAAATTAAAAACTTTGTGCTTCATCAAGGTGACAGACGATTCTCTGAGAGAAAACTGTTTGGAATCATATATCCAGAATATATACAGGAACCCTTATAATTCAATAATCAAAAGGGCAAATAACCCCATTTAAAAATGGGTGAAGGACCGGAAGAGACATTTCTTCAGAGATACACAAATTGCCAATAAGATCAGGAAAAGTCTGTTCAATGTCATTAACCATCAGGGCAATGCAAATCAAAACCACAGCAACAGCCCACCTCACACGCACTGGGATGGCAAAAATGAAACAGACAATGACGAGTCTCAGCAATGGTGTGGAGAAACCGGAATGCTCACAGGTTGCCGATGGGAATGGGAAACAGAAAAGGTCTGGCAGCTCCTCGGAAGGTTAAACGCAGGTACCATATGACTCAGCAACTCCACTCCTAGGTCCACACCCAAGAGAAATGAAGGTAGAAGCACATAAAACTTGTACCTTAGCGTTCAGAACAGCACCATTCATAGCAGTCAGAAACAGGAAACACTCCACAAGTCCATCAACTGCTAAACAGACACATGTCACCTGGCCTACCTAACACAAAGGTGTTTTATTCCGCCACCAAGAGGAATACAGCACTGACACCTGCTACAGAGGGAATGAACCTCAAACACATTACGCAAAGCCAAACCACACACACAAGACTTACCACATAGTATATGACTCAATTTCTATGGAACGTCTGGAGCTGGCAAATCTACACAAACAAAACATACAGTACTGGGCGGACAGTGGTGCTGGTGGTGGGGGTCGGGAGGTCATGGCTAAAGGGTACAGTTTCCTCATGAGGTGATACAATCATTCTGAAACTGACTGCAGTGATAGTTGTACAACTCCATGAAGATACTAAAAACCAGTGGGTAGTACACATTAAACAGGTGCACTGTATGACACGTGAATTATATCTCAATAAAGCCGTTACAAAAAATCCTGTTCAAAAGATGGCTGGGCACGATGGCTCACGCCCGCAATCCTAGCACTTAGGGAGGCCGAGGTGGGCAGACTGCTTGAGCAGCCGCCCACTGCACTCCAGCCTGGGTAACAGAGCAAGTCTCCATCTCAAAAAACAAACAAAAAAAAACTGTTCAAAAGAAGATAATGACTCTGTCCAACCTCATTAATATTAAACCTTCCTTGCAAACGTCAGTGTACAAAGCAGGACTACACCAACGTGAAGTAGTCTTGCTCTGTCGAAACAGAGTGGAAAATTCCTGTTTTTTTTTTTTTTTTTTTTTTTTTTTCTTTTTCAGACAGTCTTGCTCTGTTGCCCAGACCAGAGTGCAGTGGTGCTCTCTCAGCTCCCCGAAACCTCCATCTCCTGGGTTCAAGCAATTCTCCTGCCTCAGCTTCCCGAGTAGCTGGGATTACAGACATGCGCCACCACACCCAGCTAATTTTTTATATTTTTAGTAGAGATGGGGTTTCATTATGTTGGCCCAGCTGATCTCCAACTCCTGGCCTCAAGCGGTTTGCCCGCCTCAGCCTCCCAAAGTTCGGGGATTACAGGCACAAGCCACTGCACTCAGCAGCACCCCCACTAGCAGCTTTTTTTTTTTTTTTTTTTGAGACAGGGTCTTGCGCTGTGGTACAGGCTGTAATGCAGAGGCACAATCTCAACGTAACCTCTGTATTCCAGGTTCAGGTGAGTCCCCCACCTCAGCCTCCCAAGTAGCTGGGACTACAGGCATGTACCACCACCACCAGCCAATTTTTCTATTTTTAATAGAGTTGGGGTTTCTCCATGTTGGCCAGGCTGATCTTGAAACTCCTGGGCTCAAGCAATCCACCTGCCTTGGCCTCTCAAAGTGCTAGGATTAGTGGTGTAAGCCACCGAGCCCAGCTGAAGAATGTTATACATGACAAGACAGAACTCTCTCTCCAGCATCAGCCTTCCATTAGCCTCAGCACCTTTGGCAGAGGAGGAGCAAGGAACCAAAAAGGCACTCGGCAGCCAAAATCGTGATCACAGACACATTCCCCACACCACACTTACTCAAGGGAAACCCCGCCCATTCTCATTCCCAGCACTTCTACCATTTACGCAAATGCAGTGCGTGAGCAGATGGGGCGGGCCTGGCCTGCTCACAGAGCACAGTCCCTGCTCTTGGCTGTCCCAGGCCACCGGAATACTGCAACACAAGGCAGTAGCCAGCACTCACAGCAATTCGCTCTCAAGGACACCTGTTTCTGAGCACCTACTGAAGACCTGAATTGCCAATTATGTGCACTGTCATTGTAAAAGTGTTTTAAAAACAAGTCCATCAAAATGCTACAATTAAAAGTCAGCTTTAAGCAAGGTGCGGTGGTTCACGCCTGTAGTCCCAGTACTTTGAGAGGTTGAGGCGGGCGGATCACAAGATCAGAGGTTCGAGACCAGCCTGACCAACATGGTGAAACCCGGTCTCTACTTAAAAATACAAAAATTAGCTGGCCGTGGTGGCACACACCTGTACTGTCAGCTACTCAGGAGGCTGAGGCAGGAGAATTGCTTGAACCCGGGAGGCAGAGGTTGCAGTGAGCCAAGAACACGCCATTGCACTCCAGCCTGGGCAGCAGAGCAAGAGTCTGTACTCCGTCTCAAAAAAAAAAAAAAAAAAAAGGCAGCTTTAGCTGGGCCCAGCTACTTGGGAGGCTGAGGTGGGACGATCACTTAAGGCCAGCAGTTCAAGGTTGCAGTGCACTAGATGGCACCTGTGAAGAGCCACTGCCCTCCAGCCTGGGGACAGGGTCTTTCTCTGTCACCCAAGCTAGAGTACAGTGGTGCAATCATAGCTCACTGCAGCCGCCAACTCCCGGGCTCAAGAGATCCCCTGCCTCAGCCTCCCGAGTAGCTGGGACTACAGATGCCCACCACCATGCCTGGTACATTTTTCTTTTTCGGTAGACAGAAGGCCTCCCTATGTTGCCCAGGCTGGTCTGGAACTCCTGGACTCAAATAATCCTCTCACTTTAGCCTCCCAAGGTGCTAGGATTACAGGTGTGAAACACTGCACCCCGCCCCAGGCCACAAGAAACTTATTTTCAGTAAGCTTTAGCAGACCGTTAGCTTCCAGTTCCAGGGGCCCTAATATCAAAACAACCCTGCCTCCCCAACTTTTTATTCTCATAGGTCCTCGATTCCCACTTAAAAGACTCTTCCTGGTTCCTTGAGTATCTGGCGAATACTTCTCTAACCAGAGGAGAAATAGGACGGACTCAGTGCTCTGGAGCCGGTGACTCACCCACACGGTCAAACATGGGACTGGAGACGGGGCCAGCGCCCCTCCTTCACCACAGCCTTGAGGGCTGCGGTATGGATCATGCCTTAAGGACCTAGTGGGTGAAGTCCCCCCAAGAGAGCCTGTGCAGCCAAGTCAACACTGAGCCCAAAGGGAGCGCATGGGATTCCAGGGAGCGCTCATCGGATACCTGCGGAGCTTCCTTCAGCAGAAAATCAATTCCTTCCTAGAGGGCCAGACACTGTCCCCTCTTACCGGAGGCCTTCCAGTACCGGGGATCAGGCATCCGTTAGACTATCCAGATGATGGAAACGCAAGGAACAGAAAACCCCAAAGCACCTTTCTGGTGATTTCAAATACACCCCGAAGGAGGAACGGTTCCAAATTTAGAGCCTCACGACAAGCTACAGCCGCGCCTCGCTGCCTCCACTGACCTGATTGCAAAACCTCCGCTCAGGTGCGGGCCGGGAGGATCCCCAGCTGCTCGCCGGATCCCACAGTGAGCCCCCCAGAGCTGCGGACCCCTTCCCTCCGAACCCCAATTCCCTTCCCTGGACCCCTCCTCGGCAGACCCCAATCCCCTCCCTCGGACCCCTTTCTCTCAGACCGCTCGCCCTTTCCCTAACACGCCTCCCTCACCTTCCAAGGCCCCTGGAAACCCGGCCCCCTACGCTCGGATTCCCGAACCCCACAGGCCCAACTCTCCTCCCTCAGGCCCCAATCCCCTCCCCCTCGGAACCCATCCCGGTCTCCTATTCCCTTGGACCCACGACCCCTCCCAGCCTGGCCCCTCTCCTGCCCTGAAGCCCTCGGGGACCAGGGACCCTCACCTCAGAGCTGGGACCCCCGTTTGGCCGCTCTCTAACCTTCTCCGCGGACCCCCAGCCCCGAGCCCTCCGCGGACCCCAGCCGGATCCTCGGGCCCAGATCCGACCTCGTGGCCCTCGCGGACCCCCGGCCTTCGCCCGGCCCCGCCCCAGGCCAGGAAAGCCTGGCCGCTCTGCCCCAGCTCCCGAAACCGCGAGCGGAAGAGCGGTGAGACCGCTGCGGCCGTCGCTTCCTTCCCCTTTTGCGGCCCGACGACGCCACAGGACGGGGGCAGAAGAGCCAGGTCTGCCGCCCGGGCGGACGCCGCGCTCGCTCACCGCCGCCGGGGTTCGGTCTGGCCCGGGTCGGCCCTGGCTCCCGCCGCGCCCTCCGCTCCCAGGCGCCAGGCTCCACTTCCGGTTCCGCGGCGGGGGGCGGGGCCGCATCCGGGTCCCCTTGCGGCTCCGCCCCCGCCCCCGCCCCGCCCCCGCCCCGCTCCCGCGTCCCGGCCCGCACGACCCTCGGGTTCCGCCCGCAGCCTGCGAAGCGCGAGCCCGGCCCCTGGCGAGCCTGCAGGGCGCGCCGGAAAGTAGCGTCGCGCGCCGAAGAGGGGCGCCGAGAAGCACACAGCCCGCGGCGGGGGCTCAGGATCCGCGGCGCTTACGGGGGCCGGGAGAAGGAAGCCAGCCCCGGGCGACGCGCGGACCCTGAGCCCGGGGGCGCCGAGCCCCTTCAGCATGTCTCCGCCTTCCCTCCGCTCAGCCCCAGCGTCGCCCCATCGCGCGCACCCAGCGGTCCTCGTCCGCCCGCTCACAATGCACCCCTGCAGAAAGGGCCACATGGGTGTCAGGGACGCGAGCCCGAGCCGCAGGGACCCAGCAGCCTGGAAGGTGAGTGAGGCGTTAAACCGCGTGGGTTCTCACCCGGGAGATGAGATACGTGCCGGCAAGTGAGAGTTTCGTGACATCGTCCCGAAGAGAAGCACCTCGGACCCCAGCCCATCTGGGGGACCAGAGGTCACTTTGGGCAATTCACATGTTAGCCAAGGTGTGACAGCCCCATAGGAGTGAAGGGAAGGAGGGAAGAACTTTCCAGGCGGGGAAATCAGCAGGTTCCGAGGCGCCGAGGCAGGGACGGCCGTGCAGCAGGGGAACTGAAGGAGGCTCAGCTCAGCTTGGCAAGAGGGCCGCTTGTGCAGCCGAGCCCGGTCATGCAGAGGCCGAAGGAGTGCAGAGAGGACCTCGGTCTTTATTCCGGGAGTCGTGGCAAGTTCCTGGAGGCAGTTAAGCACATAAGAGGCGTCAGTGAAGTCTGTGCCAGGAGCCCTGACTCACGCCTGTGATCCCACCACTTTGGGAGGCCGAGACGGAAGGATCCCCTGAGGCCAGGAGTTTGAGACCAGTCTGCCCTGCCCAGTCTCTAAATAGATAAATACATCATGAAGTTTGAATTGTAATGAGATCACTCTGTCTGCTGTGTGGAGAATGGATGGGAAGAGGGCCAGGTAGAGCCTAATGTAACCAATTCGTGCAACCGTCTGGCGGCAGGTAAGATGGGGAGAAGCATGTAGAGAGCTAAACTGTCACATGTGACGATGGGGTGGGAGTGCGGGTGGCGGAAGGAAATGTCAGCTGTTGACCATTTTTTAAAGGGAAAGCCATGACTTTCATACACATGTAAAGTGAACATGTCAAATATTTAATTTAACTCAACGAATACATCATAAGATTTTACGAATTGTTTAAAGAATTTGGCCAGATGTAGTGGCTCACGCCTGTAATCCCAGCACTTTGGGAGGCCAAGGCAGGAGGATTGCTGGAGGTCAGGAGTTTGAGACCAGCCTGGGCAGCATGACAAGACTGTCTCTATGGAAAAAAAAAATTTTTAATAAAAAAATTAGCCAGGCATGGTGGTGTGTACCTGTGCTCCCAGCTACCCTGGAGGCTGAGGCAAAAGGATCACTCCAGCACGGACAACGGAAACCCTGTTTCAAACAAAAACAAAAATGAAAAACGAAACGAAAAAACCCAAAGAAGTCAAAAGAATGAATTTGCAGAAACGAGTCTGTCTCCAGTGCCATGGTCAATTGCATTTAACTGGACACAGCTAATTTACGTTTTCTGTGGACAAAGATTGTTGGCCAGGCTTGTAATCCCAGCCCTTTGAGAGGCAAGGCCAGGAGTTCAAGACCAGACTGGGCAACATAGCATCTCTGAAAAAGAAAATTTTTTTTTTTTTTTACATTGCAGACTTTTTTTCTTTCTTTAATTTTTGGAGACGGGCTGGAGTGGAGTGGCGCAATCATGGCTCACTGCAGCCTCGACCTCCAGGGCTCAAGCAGTCTTCCCACCTCAGCCTCCCTAGTACCTGTAGCTGGAACTACAAGCACATGCCACCACGCTTGGCTAATCTTTAAAAATATTTGTAGATACTGGGTCCTACAGCTTTACAAGCCGGAAATCGTTTTTGTAAGACCAGATTTGTTGACATATAATTCACAGAAAATTCAGTACACCCATCTCAGTGTTTTGGGGGTTTTGTGCAGTATATTCACAGGGTTGTACAGCCATCGCCGCAGTCTAATTTTAGAACATGTACCCCCTGCAAAAGAAACCCTACTCATCAGCAGTCAGCCCCCCTGCGTCCCCTGTCTCCCCACCTGAGCAACCGTGAATCCACTTGCGGCCAGTGAGGTGGACATTATTGCTTCCATTTTACAGAGAAGGAAAGCCAAAACTCACAGCTGACTTTTCAGCAGGAGGGCAGTGTTTGTGGTTTAGAAAGTCCAGTCTGCAGCCGGGCACGGTGGCTCACACCTGTAATCCCAGCACTTTGGGAGGCCGAGGTGGGCGGATTCCAAGGTCAAGAGATTCAGACCATCCTGGCCAACATGGTGAAACCCCATCTCTTCTGAAAATACAAAAATTAGCCAGGCGTGGTGGCACATGCTTGTAATCCCAGCTACTCGGGAGGCTGAGGCAGGCTGAGGTCCCAGATATTCCCTTGAACCTGGGAGGTAGAGGTTACAGTGAGCGGAGATCATGCCACTGCACTCCAGCCTAGTGACAGAGTGAGACTCCATCTCAAAAAAAAAAACACCAGTCTGCTGCCAGGTGAAGGGCAGGCTGCTTCAGAGTGGCTCCCAGGGAGAAAGGGGTGGCGCATTCTTCCACATGCCCATTGTGCTCCTTCAGGAGAGTGCGGCAGAGACCCGAGGCTGGCCACAGAGGAATTACACAATGAGGAATTTGACAATGTCAAATTTGCAAAGCAAAAAGTATAGCTGTGCTCAGAAACAAGTAGCGCCTAGGCACAGTGGCTCATCCCGGCAATTTGGGAGGCTGAGGCGGGTGGCTCACTTGAGGTTAGGAGTTCGAGACCAGCCTGGCCAGCATAGTGAAGCCCTGTCTCCACTAAAATTACAAAAAAAAAAAAGAAAAACAACCAAAAAAATAGCTGGTAGCTGGGGCACGGTAGCTCATGCCTGTAATCCCAGCACTTTGGTAGGCCGAGGCAGGCAGATCACCTGACGTCAGGAGTCCGAGACCAGCCTGGCCAACATGGTAAAACCCCGTCTCTAATAAAAATAGAGAAGTTAGCCGGGCATGTTGGCAGGCGCCTGTAATCCCAGCTGCTTGGGAAGTTGAGGCAGGAATCGCTTGAACCCGGGAGGTGAAGGTTGTAGGCTGAGATCGCACCAGTGCACTCCAGTCTGGGCGACAGTGTGAGACTCCATCTCAAAAAAAAAAAAAAAGAAAGAAGTTGATACCTCTGTGAGCCAGAAATGAAGAGAAATGCAGAGTGCTGGAGTGCTGAGTGGGCCTGGAACTGAAAGGTGCTGGGCAGGGGTCACCCGTGCTTGTAAAAGAAAGCTGAAAAGAAGCACACAGCCAGGGGCGCACCAGTGGTCCCAGCTACTTGGGAGGCCGAGGCAGGGGGTAACCACTTAAGACCAGCTGGAGCAATGTGGTGCGGTCCTGTCTCAAAAGCTAAAACAAAGAAAATTTTAAAAACCCAGGTAGCCAAAGAGGGATGTCTAAACAGCCTTATGTCCAGGATCTGAGCAATCCAGTCCCCGACTTGGGGTGCAGATGGGACCTGGGGCATTCGCACCACCAGGCAGGGCCATGGGACTCAGCACACAGGCGACAGACGTGACTGTACATCCAGCCCCCCCACTCTCCATGATACTAAGTGGGCGGGTGGATGTGGCTGTCCAGCTCTACTCCATTTCCCAGCTGCCCTTGGAGGTAGGAGCTGCCACGTGGCCAGGTTCTCACCCATGGAACGTGAGGGGAAGTGACATGCAAGGCTTCTGAGCCTGGACCATCATACCTCCCGGGGCTGCCCCCACCTCAGATCAGCTGCCCAGGCTACTGCAGCACATGATGACAAACTCAGGGCCTCAGACGACGCAAGTGCACGCCGTTCAGTTCCGGAAGCCGGAAGTCCGAAACCTGTTTCATGGGCTGAAGTTAAGGTGTCTGTGAGGCTCGTTCCTTTTGGAGACGAGCCCAAAAGGGGAGGCTCCTTCTGTGGCCTCTTTAGTTCCTGCGTCACTCAGACCCGTGCAGTGGTCTGCACACCTGTTTTCTCTCCATATGGATACGTCTCTTTGCCTCCCTGTTACAAGAACACTTGGGATCGCATTTGGGGCCCACCCAGAATATCCAGGATCATCTTCCCATCTCAAGATCCTGATTTCGTCACATCTGCCGACTCCTTTTGGCCATGTACGCAACACTCAGGTGTTCTGACGGTTAGGATGCAGACATATTTGGAGGCCGTTATTCAGCCTGCCACCGGCGACAGCCGTGACCTTGGAAACCGTGTTGAGGACGGCAGAGCCCACCAGCCTGCATCCCTCCACGACTGCACAGAGCAGAGCTTCCTGACTGTCCCTTTCTCCTCCTCTGTCTGACCTGGACATACACCCTGGCCTGTGACCTGAAAGCGAGAGAAAATCCTGCTGTGTTTAGGAGACTTGTGTTTGGAGTCCGTTTGTCCCTGATGTTTAGCCTACCCTAACACAGAGAGGTGGAGGCAGCTGCAGGACGGGAGACGGGCAGCGTCACACACAGTGAGGAAGAGAAAAAATGAAACATTTCCTACCTAAAACGAACCTAAAATATAAGTTCCAAAGCAATTGTGAAACTTAATACTAAATAAGACAGCCAAAGGCCAGGCACAGTGGCTCCACGCCTGTAATCCCAGCACCTTGGGAGGCTGAGGCAGGCAGATTGCTTGGGCTCAGGAGTTCAAGACCAGCCTGGGCAATGTAGTGAGACCCTGTGTCTACAAAACGTTAAAAAATTAGCCGGGTTGGTGGCCTGTGCCTATAGTCCCAGCTGCGTGGGAGACTGAGGCAAGAGGATCAGCTGAGCCCAGAAGGTCAAGGCTGCAGTGAACCATGATTTCACCACTGCACTCCAGCCAGAATGATAGAGGGACACCCTGTCTCAAAATATAAAATCAGTAGGAAAGCTGATACCGTGAGCAATGGGAACATGAATTCTTGAAGTTGAATTTTATATATAGAATGCGAGAATGATTTTCAAAATGTATGTTTGGAACCAGGCCCATGTGGCTCATGTCTGTAGTCCCCGCTGCTCAGAAGGCTGAGGCGGGAGGACCCCTTGAGCCCGGTTGTTAAGAGTTCAAGGGTGTAGTGAGTTATAATCATACCAGCACACTCCAGCCTAGGTGACAGAGTGAGTCCCTGACTTAAAAGGGACCTGAGCACAGTGGCTCACACCCGTAATCCCTGCCCTTTGGAGGCCAAGGCCGGCGGACCACCTGAGGTCAGGAGTTCGAGACCAGCCTGGGCAACATGGTGAAACTCTGTCTCTACTAAAAATACAAAAATTAGCCAGGAGTGGTGGTGGTTGCC